CAGAACAAATGCTTATTGTTGTATACCACTATGATTTTGTGGTTGCCAATTATTCAGCAAAAGCTAACTGAATCACAATATTTCAAAATTCAAATAAGACTAATTACATAGAGCAGTGGTTCTCAAACTTGCCTGAGAATCTTTTGGGGTTTAAGTTTTAAAAATATACATAGGCCCCAAAGAGATCCATTCAATACATCTAGACTGTGGCACCAGGAATACACATTTTATTAAGAAGCAAAGGTGCTTAGCTGGCATAGTTTAGTGGTTGAGCATCAACCTATGAACCAGGAGGTCAGGTTCGATTCTTGGTCAGGATACATGCCCGGGCTGTGGGCTTGGTCCCTAGTGTGGGGCGTGCAGAGGCAGACGATCAATGATTCTCTCTCAACATTGATGTTTCAATCTCTCTCTTCCTCTCCCTTTCTCTTTGAAATCAATAAAAATATATATTTTTAAAAACCCAAAGGTGATCGTTATAGTGTCCACACCTTGAAAAACACTAAAATAAAAACTACTAAATTTCTAGTTCAACAATATTAACTGCTCAAGAACACCAACTAAATAGGTTAATCTTTTTTGAGAATGTATGTGTTCATTTAAAAATGTATCTAAAACTGAAACCTAGCCAAATGAATACTTTCAAATGCAGGAAGAATCAGCTGACATTGATGTCAATTCAACCATGGACACTTCTGAGCCAGTCAAGAAGGAAGAGAATTATGATGCGATGCAGGACCCTGAGGTTCCTTAAGGGTGTCCTGGAGATCCTTCCATAATTGGAATACAACAATAAGGCCACTCAAAATGTCATGGGAACACAGTCCCTGGTGGTCTCGTGGTTAGGATTCGGCGCTCTCTCTCAAAATGTCATGGGGGGGGGGGGGGGGATGCCATGGGCTTCCTGGCCTTCTAGGTGACCAAGGATAGTCAGTAAATCTCCCCAAAATGTGCCATCTTAGCATATTGATTATTTCGACATGACAATTAAATCCCAAAAACTCAGTTAGAGTTTGTTACCTCCCCTTTACCTGCCTAAAAGACTCAGATAGAAAAACCTGCTTCAGCCGAAACCGGTTTGGCTCAGTGGTAGAGCGCCGGTCTGCGGACTGAAAGGTCCCAGGTTCGATTCCGGTCAAGGGCATGTACCTCAGTTGTGGGCACATCCCTGGTGGGGGATGTGCAAGAGGCAACTGGTCGATGTTTCTCTCTCATCGATGTTTCTAGCTCTCTATCTCTCTCCCTTCCTCTCTGTAAAAAATCAATAAAATATATTTAAAAAAAAAAGAAAAGAAAAACCTGCTTCAGGAAGGGAACCTTAGCATTTATGAATTCCTACTTTCCCCTCCTTAGTTCAGAATGACATATAGCCCTGGTCAGTTTGGCTCAATGGATAGAGTGTGGACCTGCAGACTGAAGGGTCCCAGGTTTGATTTCAGTAAAGGGCACATGTCCAGGTTGTGGGCTCAATCCCCAGTAGGGGGCCGTGGAGGAGGCAGCCAATCAGTGATTCTCTCTTATCACTAATGTTTGTATCCCTCTCCCCCTATCCCTCCTCTCTGAAATCAATTAAAAAAAAAAAAAAAAGAATGTTGCCCTGGCTAGTTTGGCTCTGTGGATAGAGTATCAGCCTGCAGACATATGCCTGGGTTGTGGGCTCAATCCCCAGTTGGGGGCATACAGGAAGCAGTAGGCCAATGATTCTCTCTCGTCATTGAATATATATATATATATATATATATATATATATATATCCCTCTTCCTTCCTCTCTGAAATAAAAATACGTTAAATAAATAAATGCTATATAATAAAAGCCTAATATGCAAATCAGAAAGACTGGCAGAACAACCACCAGGGATCAGACACTCAACTGCACACTGACCACCAGGGATCAGACACTCAACTCAGGAGCTGCCCCTATCCTGCAGTCCCCAGCCAGCCAAGGCAGGTGAAAGCAGAGGCCCCAGGATCACCCTGCCAGTTGCCCTGCAAAAGGAGGCAGATGGTGGCGATCAGTGGCTACAGCTGGGGTGGGGCCAGCGAGCGGGTTGGGCCAGGCCAGCCAAGGCAGGTGCCAGCAGGGGGGGTCCCAATCACCCCACTGGTCACCCCACAGATGGGCTCTGATTGCCAGCCAGTCTTAGGGACCTTACACGTGCACTAATTTCAGACCTCTAATAAATAAATAAAGGTTTAACCATGACTCCTAAAGATGAATGTGATATCAGTGTGCCTTCCAGTATTTTTTCCTTCCAGCTGCACTATTTGTACATGTTTGGTTACATCACTGCATCTATGTATCCCCAAATCTACACAGACTCTCTTTAGTCATCCTGCATTTTATGAAACTGCATTAGCCACTCCAATATTAAGCACAGCAAACTTTTACACATTTAGAACCAGGATGTTTGCATACATAATCACTACAGTACAAAGATCATGTCAAGTGTCTACTTCTTTGCAAAGGCTGATCTGGTGAAGGCACTACTCTATCTCATGTTCCCAATTAGAGTGAGAAGTTGTTGTTATCATTAATGTCGTAAGAAAGAGTCCAGGCCGAAACCGGTTTGGCTCAATGGATAGAGCGTCGGCTTGGGGACTGAAGGGTCCTGGGTTCGATTCGGGTCAAGGGCATGTACCTTGGTTGCGGGCACATCCCCAGTAGGGGGTGTGCAAGAGGCAGCTGATTGATGACTCTCTCTTATCGATGTTTCTAACTCTCTCTCTCTCTCCCTTCCTCTCTGTACAAAATCAATAAAATATATTTTAAAAAAAAAAAAGAGTCCAGGCTATACTCCTGGGTCCACAATTTACTCGCTGTGTGGTGAGTTATTTAAATTCTCTGTACTTAACTCACCCTCTCTGTAAAAAGAGAATAATTAAGTCTGCAGAATAGAATTGAGGATGAAATGAGAAAATACCTGTCAAACTATTATAATAGTTGCTGATACACAGCAAGTACTTAAGATGTTATTATTGTTGTTGTTGTTGCTCTGAAATCCAGCTTCACAAATGCGGGCTGCTATGTAATACTAAAGAAAAAAGAAGCCGAAACCGGTTTGGCTCAATGGATAGAGCATTGGCTTGGGAACTGAAAGGTCCTGGGTTCGATTCGGGTCAAGGGCATGTACCTTGGTTTCGGGCATATCCCCAGTAGGGGGTGTGCAAGAGGCAGCTGATCGATGACTCTCATCGACGTTTCTAACTCTCTATCTCTCTCCCTTCCTCTCTGTACAAAATCAATAAAATATAAAGAAAAAAGTCTAAATCACTTTTTATGCAGTGATTCTTTTAATTCATCCCTTTTAAGAGACATTATCCTAATATTTTATTTACCAAGTAGAAGTTAAGTTTATTTTTAAATCAATGTTCTTTCTCTAATTTTATCAGTTCTGATCACAAAATAATAAGCCCTACCAATCATAAATGAGAACCTAGATGCTAAAAAAGGTAAAAAATAACAAAGAACACTAAAAAGTCTATGCTCTGAGATTTCTGCTCTTAGAATGACTGCTTAAGCTTAAGGCCTTTTACTCTCTACATATTTTACAGCAACCACGTGACTTATGGCTAGAGAATTTAAATAGCTAACACAATATAAAGAAATCTAATAAAAAATCACTTTTTATCCCAAAAGAACTTGTAGTGACTAATAATATTAAAATATAAGTTCCCAAATATATTCAATTCAGAAATTCCAATTATTTTAACACAACTATACAGATGTCATAAACATAATAAACATTAATAAAAAATATTAACAGCACAAAAGGAAACTTTGAATTTTCTTTCAGTATTTTCCCAATGCAAATTTTTTAATGGAAATAAGCAAGCAACCCCTGTCTTACATGGCGATGAGAAATTTATTGAATATGAGACGTACAGTTATAAAAACAAGAAAGTAATTGAAAACTGTCACGTTGTCCTTGACTCATTTTTAAAGGTATAATCCATTTAGCCACCCTAAATCAAATTTAAGGATTATATGTAAGATTCACTCCTGAAATTTTCTAAAAATCCTATCATCAAAAGACTGCTTGCAAAAGGAACATGAGGCTTTTTTTTTAAGGTATCTGAGAACTAAAAGGAAAATATCCTAAGGAAAGGATGACTACCATTTCTCTTTTAGCTTCGGTAAATAACAAAGAACTTCCAGACTGAAATCTCCTAGAAGTCTGACGCGAGGTCAAAGTTGTCTCAAGACAAGACAGCCAATAAATGCCAGATGACTAAATGTACAGGGATCAAAAAAACCTTTTAAACGCTACAGCAATTCCAAAAGCATATAAAATACGAGGGTCCAAACTGAAAGATGGAAACATGATAACTGAAATACTTTGGAATAAAGTGACACTAATGGTAACAACACTTAACAGCATTACACAATGTATTAAGAACCTCACAGTCATGGCTTCCTCAACATTGTATTCAATTCATTCGGTAACATTTCTTGAATAATGAAAGGAACATGGATTCCCAAAGAGTAACCTAAACCTTAAAAATAAGGCTCGGGTGTGTGGTCCATAGTTGATGTCCCTTTTTTCCTGCAAGCCAAATCTACTTCTTTATATTAAACACACACACACACACACACACACACACCAAAAAAACACACACACTACAGCTTCGTTTCCAAAGATCTCATAATGAGACACTATCCACTGGCGATTAAAATATTATTTTTAATCCTTGCATTACCTCACAGCTAAAAATGTCAAGAAACCACACCCAAGATGTCTTTCCCCCGCCGTGGGAGGTGTGAGGGGGTGGGAGACGGAGGAGTGGAGATTCAAAAAGGGCAGGAAAACAGAAAAGGATCTTCCCCCGGAGGGATCGGTGGAGGAGCGCAGGGACACGGGGGTCGCGGCTCCCTCTCCCCCGACCCGGGGGACACGCATCGAAGGGCGAGCTCAGGCCTCGGCCTCTGCGGGCGCCCCCGCTCCACCCTCCCCCGCCCCCCAAGGATGAGCGGCCCCGCGACGCGCCAGCCGGTACTCACCGGCCGCGGTGCTGACCAGCAGGACGGCCCACGGCAGCCAGGGCAGCAGCCAGGGCGCCGGCCGGGGCCGCGGCGGCGGGGCAGTCATCCCGGGGCCGCCGGGCAGCAGGGCGCGGAGCGGAGAAACCGGGGAGTAAGCGGGCGCGGGCCCTCCGGCCGGCAGGCTCGCGTCCCCGCCGGGCCCGCTCACAGGGCGGCGGCGGGGAAGGACACACGGCAGAGCAGAGGACCTCGCCGCCGCAGAGCTCTCATTCCGCTGCAGGAATTCCCTTTTTTTTTTTTTTTTTTAATTCCTCTCCCTCGCGGCGGGGGGCGTTCCTTCGCCTTAGGACGGGGTGCCTCAGCCCCCCCAGACGCAAGGCATGTCGGTGACGGGGGAGACGCAGGGAGACGAGAAAGCAAGCCCCCGCGATTATTTCCCTCGGAGCTTCACGATATCAAAAAAAGAGCCAGGTCTGGGCGAAGACATATCCAAGGGCGCCGCGGGGTGGGCAGCGGGGGTTCGATCCGGGGAGCCGAGGAGCCGAACTAGAGAGTCCCGGGCGGCGGCGGCGGCGGCGGCCCCGGCGGCCCGAGGCGCATCGCCCGCGGCCCCGGGAGGGCAGGGTTCCCGGCCGAGTTCCGCTCCGGCGCTTCTTTCACTCCGGCTTCAGGAGCAGCAGATCCTCCCTCTCAAACGGGGCTCCACGGGGTCCGGCTCCATGGACGAGCCCGTAGCCGCGGCGGAACGATCGTGTGCGGGGCCGGCCGGCCGGAGGCTGCGGGCGCCGCGGGGCGGGGAGCGGGGGAGGGGGTCGGCAGGCCGGGCGGCGCGGAGGTGCGGGCCGGCTGCCCTCAGCCGCCCGGTGCGCTGCGCTCGGTTCCTAGCGCCGCCGCTCCATCTCGCCTGAGGTAGATTCCACCGGGAAAGCCTCGTCTCCGCGCGTCCGCGGCTCCGGTGCCCGGCGAGTCACAGCCCCGCCGCCGCCGCCGCCGCCTCGCTCCCCGCAGCGCTGGGCTCCGGGCGCGGCTGGGCTGTGGAGGCCGCGGGCGGGGGGCGGCGGAAGAGCGGATGTAGATGGCTGGCGCGGGGAGGCGGCCGGCGAGGCGGCGGCGAGACACGCAGCGCCCCTCCGGGAAGCGCAGCCAGTGGCTCGGAGCGGAGGAGACACAAAGGGGGGAGTCGCCGCAGCTGCCAGTCGGCGGCGCTCCCGGCCGGGGATCGCCCCGCCCCCGCCGCCGCCGCCGCCGCCTCCTCAGTCTCCGGCTCCTCCCGACCTTGTCCGTCTCGGGCCTGCGGGGCGGCGCGGGAGGCGGCGGCGGCGGCGGCGGCGGCGCGAGGGGCCCGCACTGCGCCTGCGCGCGGCCCCGCCCGGCCCCGCCCCCCGCTCCGGGGCTGCCGGGCGCCCCGGCGGCCTCCGCGGCGTCTCCGTCGAACCGAACCGGCGGCGGCCGGCGATGCGGGCAGAGATGGCTCTTCTGCTTCACACACACATTCCTTCCATAGGCGCACACGTGTGTGTGGGTGTGTGTGTATGTGTCTGTATGTGTGTGGGTGTATGTGTCTGTATGTGTGTATGTGTGTATGTGTATGTGTGCGTGTGTCTCTGAGTGTCTATGTGTGTGTGTCTGTGTGTGTGTGTCTCTCTCTGAGTGTGTGTCTGTGTGTCTGTGTCTGTGTGTGTATGTGTCTCTGTGGGTGTGGGTGTGTCTGTGTGTGTCTCTGTGTGCGTCTGTGTGTCTCTCTGAGTGTGTGTGTGTGTGTGTGTCTGTGGGTGTGTCTGTGTCTCTGTGTCTGTCAGTGTTTGTGTGTGTCTGTGTGTGTCTGTCTGTGTGTGTGTCTATGTGTGGGTGTGGGTGTGTCTGTGGGTGTGTGTCTGTGTGTGTGTGTCTGTGGGTGTGTCTGTGTCTCTGTGTCTGTCTGTGTGTGTCTGTGTGTGTGTCTGTGTCTGTATGTGTGTGTGTCTATGTGTGGGTGTGAGTGTGTCTGTGTGTGTATGTGTATGCGTGTGTGTCTGTGTGTGTCTGTGTGTCTGTGTATGTGTATGCGTGTGTGTGTGTGTGTGTGTGTGTGTGTGTGTTGCGTAGCTGGGCGATCCGGGCCGCTGGCGTCGCGGTGTCCTCGGCCCGAAGGAAGCCCGGAGGCCAGGCCTGCCTATTGTTTCTGGGGCCGGAGCCTGCGGACCCAGACGGGCACGCCTTTCCCAGCCCGGAGCCGGCCGCCCGGGCCCGCCACCGGCGGAAACAGACGCCGGAAGGGAAAGACCCCCTCACGCGGGTGTTCCGATCGCTCCGCTCTTATCGCGCCCGCCTCCAGGGCCCTTCCCGCGGCCTCCGGGCGGAGGAAGGCTGGCCTAGGAGGACGCGGAACCCAGAGAACCTCCGTTAAATCCCGTCGCCGCCTGCTGTGCCTGCGCCCATCTGGGCAGCGAGGGGGCCTGTGCACAAAGGCGGGGCGTTGGGTGTATAAGACGCGGGGGGGGGGGGGGTGAGGGGGGGTTGCGGTGAGGAGTTGCTGCCTCGGGACCGAGTCTTCGCACCCCAGGAAATCCGAAGGTCCTGTTTGTAGCTTCCTTCAATCTGGAAAGGATCGGGCTTAGTCGGTAATTTTTTAATGGCAACATCCCAAGCCACCAGGATAGAGGAAGAGATCCCACCCCTCCCCCCAACCCCGATCCCCCTCACCCCTCCCCCAGCCTCGCCCTGCAGCCCTTACACACGCCTGTGGGATCAGGCCCACTTGGGTGGGATTTTGCTGGGGGAGAAGATGACGTGCGTGGCGCCATGATCGGAAGTCTGGGTTTAATTCTTAGCTGTGAGGTGGAAATTTCGCGTAGGAGGGCGGTTTTAGAGGTGAAGTCTAGCCTTCCCTTGTACGGAGCTGCAGGGTTATTCTGAAAGCTGGTTTTACTGGTCTTTCATTCTGGCTAAAGGCAATTCCAAAGATACATCCACGATACCTTCCTCTCTCGCTTGATTCTTCAAGTCCCCTTTTATCTCTATCTGAACTTGATGTAAATAAATCTCCACATTCCTTAAACTAGTGGCTGTTATACTAAATATCTCCTGTAATTAAGGGTTGTGTAATACCAGCCCAGGATTCTCAGACTCTTTGTAGTGGAAGTATTTTTATACGGTATATCCTTCAGGCAGAGGGAAATAGTTCTATAAAGTGAAATACCTTTTTTAAATATATATTTTATTGATTTTTTAAAAAGAGAAAGAGAGAGGCATAGAGAGCTAGAAACATCGATGAGAAACATTGACCAGCTGCCTCCTGCACCTCTCCACCCACTGGGGATGTGCTCACAATCAATGTACATGCCCTTGACCGGACTCGAACCTGGGACATTCAGTCTGCAGACCGACGTTCTATCCACTGACCCAAACCAGTTTCAGCTGAAATCCCTTTTTTTAAAAAGTTAGAAGGAGCATATGTTTGGTTCATTAGTTTTATTAATATGTTTTGTTTTGCCCAAGAGGCCTAAAATAAGAAACTGGTATTGTCTTTACCATTTGACTTTTAAGAAATCAGATCTAGCACTCAAGAGAAATTTAAGTATGCTAAGGTATAGAAGGTTTATTAATGGATAGTTTACAGCTTTTGATTCTGAAATTGGGACCAAGTACATGATTATTCTGTTTTTATTTGCATAAAAATCGTTCTAAGAAACAAGTATCCTTGTAAATTGAAATATGTGATAAATAATATAGAAAAGGAGAAAGGGTCCTAGAAAATTCACATGAAAAAAAAGACATGCCACTGACTTGGTTAGGAATACTTAGTAGACAACCAGATAGGCAACCTTCCACTTCTGTTGCTCCATTGGGACATGGCTATTCACTCACTATGAGAAGGAACAGGAGAGAACCAGAACTTGGCAAGTAATCTGCCCACTAAGACAAGACCCTTCACTCTAGTGAAAACTGGATTGGCAAGGCTTAGTATCTGCGCTAGTCAGGATAAGCTACATTGTAACAAACATCTCAGCAGCTTATTGCAACAAAGGTTCACTTCTCACCCTTGTTCCATGTTTGACCATGTTTGATACAGGTCAACAGGTAGCCTATCACAGTGGGGTTCACTATGGAACAGACCCTAAAACTCTTCGATTTTCATGCAGGATGATCTCTCTGGAGCCGAGGGTCACACCACCAGGCAGAGGGAGAGATTAAAGTGCTACACAGTTGTCAATGACCGGTTAACCAATCCTGAAGAGAGCATTGAGGGATGGACTTTCAACATTGTCTTCATACCCTCACATCAACCAGTCATGGAACAGGTCTGCACCTAGGGAAGGGAGACAACCTTGGGATAGAGAGCTTTCTTTAGCCAAGAACTAGCCCAGAGAGGGCCCCAGCTGCCAGCCCCCAACATTCCCAGCAGTTGGGAGAGGTTGTACTTGAGTCCTAAAGGGTAAATCTGGATAGCTCAGCACATCATCTACTCCATGGACTCTGCTCCCTGTAGTTACAAAGTTCCCCGACGGATGGAAGCTTCAAAGAGACACATGCTTTCAAGATTGCCACTGTAGGAAGCATGAGATTTAATTGCTGGTGCTGCAGTGTTTTGGCATGTCTGAGGAATGAAAAGGAGGCCAATGTATTAAAGCATAGGAGAGCAAATTAGAGAGGTGGGCAAGCGCCACATCATACAAGGCTGGCGAGTCCCTAATAAAGGTGTGGGTCATTTCCCTGTTTGCTCAGGTCCATTCCCTTTTCTCTTCTTTTTCTTCTTAATGTTTTATTGATTTTTTAAAGAGAGGAAGAGAGAGGGATAGATGGTTAGAAACATCAATGAGAGAGAAACATCGACCAGCTGCCTCCTATACACATCCTACTGGGGATGTGCCCGCAACCAAAGTACATGCCCTTGACGGGAATCGAACCTGGGACCTTTCAGTCCAAAGGCCGATGCTCTATCCATTGAGCCAAACCGGTTTCGGCCCCTCTTCTTCTTTTTACAGGGGCTGACTCTTACACACTAAATTCCCAACACCCCCTCGCTCACTGGCTTCCGGTTAGGTCCAGCTGATGGGAGGCATAAGCTTAAGTAAATCCAAGCTCCTTAAAATGGAACAGAGGTTCCCGCTCATTCGTTTCTTTATC